CCTGAAGCCACAGGGAGCAGGAAGTCATCCAGGTCACACTGAGGACAAGCAAGATGCTCCCAGGAGCCCTGCCACCAGCCTGCAGAGGCAGGAGTCTGGGAATCCAGGGATGAAACTACTGGGAAAAAGGATGAAGATCCTAGGAAGAAGGGCACAGAACAGGGTTGAGGAACCTGCTGGTTCCTCCAGAAGGGGCAGGGAGCCATTTGAGGGGCAGAGGAGTGGGTTACACACAGAGCAGTTACATGAGGGCAGTACCTTCTGGCTTGAGTTTCTCCAGGAACCATTTTCTGAAAAGGAAGGAAAGAGGGAGGATCAATTTTTGCTGTTACCTCTCAGAAATACAGACATCCTTGTGACATTGTTGCTTACATTTTCATAGGCCTTTAAATCCCTCTCAATGTGCTGTAAGATCACTCATTCTGGATTATTTACCAGGAAGGACAGACTTATCTCTTAAGCTGAAGGGGTGTGGAGCCCACCCTGCAGCCTGTGCTCCTAACCCTGACACATGAAAGGGGAAAAAAGCTTCTCTCCTACTTACATGTAGGGTCCTGGAAGGCCCCCCAGGGCATTGAAGCACAAGCAGGTGTCCTCTACTATAACAGGTCCCTGAACCTACAGTGACAGCCCAAGAGAAGGAGAACATTAGACCTGAAGGAAGGCACTGTCTCCAAATTCATTCCCTCGCTCTATCCCAGCCTCATGTTTCTACTTGACCTCAAAGGCAACGCACACCAGACAAACCCAAACTCTCCCCAGGCAGGCCAGAGAGGCTGAAGAACTGCAGGGAAGGTTTCCTACAGAGGAAAACAAGCAGAGCTGAATACTCCTTGCAGTCCTGGAGGCCAAGGAAAGGAAAAGCCTGTGTTCCAGAGGCATGCCTGCATGTTTCTCCAGTCTCAGCCCTCACTTGGTTCTGGACGCCCATCCCAGAGACATCTCTGGAATGTCCAGCAGATATAAAACCCCTTGTCCTGCAGCCACCGGGCCTTCAGTGCCCTCCCGCTGCTGGAGGGACACAGCATAAACCACAGGAGCCGGCTGACGGGAGGCTTCCATGGCCCTGTCTGGGCTCCCTCCACACCCATCCCGCCGGGAAAGGGGAAAGAACGAGTGACCTGCCGGGCGGCTTCGCGGCACTTCTGCACCGAGATCTCGTCTGGCTCCCCCTGGTACTCGGGCACTGCGGACACAGCGATGGAGCGCTGCTGAAGCACAAGGCCCGGACGGGACGAGTCGCCGCATCCCGCCAGGCCCCGCCAACAACTTACGGTCAATTTTCTTCGCCACCAGCGTGTAGGGAGAGGAGTCCCCGAGGATCTGCGTGACCTGCGCAGGGAGAAGAGCGTGAAAAGGAAGGGAGGGACAGAGGCAAACCCTCTCGTCCCGGTCCCGCCGCCCTCACCTCCTCCAGTTTCTTGGCGTTGCCTGTCACGAACACGACGCTCCGCCGTGCCGGCGCCGCCATGCTGACCGCGCGCGCGTCCGCCGCGCGTCCAGCAGCCAATCAGTGCCCGCCGCGCCGCCGCGCCCCTCAGCGCTCGACCAATGGGGACGCGCCCGCCCCGCAGCGTCCAGC